TTATCAACACTATTTTTAAAAACTATGTCTTTTTGTGATTGTAGATGATTTTTTGATATATTGTAATGTTTACTTCGTTTTTCCTCCTTTTTATGTAAGTTTCTTAAAGGATTTGATCCCATCGGTTTCGAAAAGCCGCGTCGTATGTCGACGCAACTGATAGATCTCTTATGCACTACACTTCTGCAATCAGCCATAGATTCAGACGGCTTAAAACTTCTGTAAATTATTTATGTACTTATAGATTTGGAATTATAAATTATTTGTAACAGTTGCTAACGTTATAAACCGTCCGCTTTCCCACAAGTAGTTAGTGCATAAGAACGCTTACCGTAACACCTAATTTTCCAGGTTACCATAATGTTATTTACAAATATTGTCTTTAACCCTCTCACTCTGTTCGCTAATCTAATACTACGCTACGTCAGCGGGTCCGAGCTCGATGGTAATGCATCTACGCCTAATTTACGCCGACGCTCGATTAATTTTGAACATTTTATTAATTTGTGATCTGTATCGATCGTTATATAATAAAAATAAATCCAACGGATAGTTGAAATACTTGACCGCTTAACTCCATAGTAAATTCGATCAGCTTAGCTAACACCCGATGTCGTAAAACTTTAATCCTTGAACAGTGAACAAAAACTGAATGAAAAAAAAAACAAGAACCGTTGTGGTATGTGTGCCCCGTGTAGTTGTGGCGTTCACTGTTCACGGACTGATCAAAAATTTTCGAATGTCAGTCATTTTAAATCTTTTTTTTATTCTCAAAATTACATACTCGTTTCTTAAACCATTTCGCACAATATACCCTTATTATTGACTGCGTGACTGACTCGTCTCACTCCATTTAATTAAATAGTGGAGAATAAATATAAGAATATCTAAAATACTTATAAACTCGTAACAAATGTAAACATGTTCAGCTATGTGCCAATTGCTTCCCTACTTTTTTCGACACTATTTGGTCTCGACTTTTACTTGAAAAAAAAATATCGGAGCCAGATTTCCGTACTGCCGTTGGAATACATAGGCGCGGTCATTGTTGTTGGTCAATTTGTACGCAAGATTGGAATTCTGGCCACGGAACCCCATTCAATGTATCGGTGCTTTCACGATGTGGTTCGGAGCGATGTAATGGTAGCCGGGCAGAGGCAAACCGGCAGTCTCCATTGTGATCCTGAAATGTCGAAATTCAATTTGAGAATTAGGTCAAAAGAACATACACTTATTCAATTTTCAATCACAAAAGTATTTAATTGAAGACTTCACAGTTACTGGATATTGGAATCGGAAGCTTAAGGAACTTAATGGCGAGAATCAGACGGTGATAACTATGATTAAAACAATATTACACTACGCCCCAATTTTGTGGATAATCTAGGAAACAAATAAAATTTTAAAGGAGACATCTTACCAGGATGTTGGATGATCCGGTTGTCTGTAGGATGTAGGTACTCGATGGACCAAAGTTCAGCGTCAGGTATCACGGGAATATTTTGGTCTACAGGATTATGGCGTGGGTTCTTGTGGAGGCTTAGCATTAAATAAATGTTTACCTGTACTTAACACATACAAAACATTATAGGCAGGGTCAAGTACGTCAATGAAAAGCACGGATTCTTTAATTTTTTATTTAGTAGGTACTTAAAACAATAGTTTCACTTAATGGTACTAGCGAATAATACGATTCCTGAAAAGATATGAAAATGTGTATTATTTTAAAATTAACATGATTTTATTACAAAAAATTATATTGGCAGCTAAGTAATGTGTTTACCAAATGGAACTACATCTAACATTAAAAACATTTGAATTGGACCACGATTTCAAGTTCACACTAATTAATAAGAAATTGTAAAGACAATAATCGCAACTGCGATCTTCAGAGCCGCGCGTGATGCCCGTGTGGACTTATATATAGTTCGTCCTCTCTAATCAAAATTATTAAGTTTGCGAAACCTTTAACATATGTTTAGTGCCTAAACACGTGTTACCGCAAAGAATTGCCTTAATCTCAGCAATCCCTAAAAATCTAAATCGCTTTGCTATTTCTAATTTTTAATATAACCTTATCTTATCAAGATATAAATATAAAACATTCCGATCTACGTTTATCTTAACATGTCATGAAACGTTTAACAGAACAAGTCAAAAGATAAACGTAAAAACATGCAGTGCGAGCTACAAAAAATTTGTAATTTCTAACCATCCACTACGAAATGAACAAGTATATCGAAAATTTTAAAAGCAATTCGCCATCTTTTCGCTTTGATTATAAATAGAAATATTAATTCTAATAATATAAAACTACCAAAACATACGTAATACGCTTTAATATTATCTTCCTTTTAAAAATACACAGAGCTAACACTCAGTATTGGCATCAAACCATACTTCGCTATATTTTCCAAAAATCGCAGAATAGTCAAGAGCTTGAAGCTTATCAGCAGTATGAGATTGCTATAATTAGATATTTATATATCAATATGCAATATATTGATGCAAGTCTATAATATTTGAAAAGTAAATGATTTTCAGTCATACTTATTTTGGTCCAAGTAATAAATAAATTACACAGAGTTCATTATTACAATGACTTTCAAAAATTGTATGACTTAACTTTTGCTTGTTATTTTCAGGAAGATTGTTACATTTTTTTCGTAAGTATACTGAAAAAAAAAAACTATTTAGATATAGTTAAAACATTTTTTTTTAATGGTTAAAAATGACTATAGGATGTAATGTGTATTTTGCAATTTTTAAAAGCGGGTTCTTTACACATCACAATATATAGGGTTATTTTTCAAAGAGTAGCCAAATTTTAATCTTAAGTTCAAATATATAAATAATGATATACCGTTAATGCAGTTTTTGAAAATACGAGTAAATAAAGCTTCTACTTTTATTTTAAATTATCCCAACTTGAATGTGATTTATGGGCAACGTTTTTGCCTACCGATCGGACCCTTACAAACGTATGCGTGCGTAGTAAAATCAGTTAAAACAATGCATTACCACGCATTTTGAATTTAAAAGATGAAAATGATAGAATGTTTGAGATTTTTCTTAATAAATTTTTCTTCACCACTTGCCTATATTACTTATTCTGAACCTTCTCTACAAATTTGACCCGTTATAGCAAAATAACCCTGTATATTTCGTATAAGGTATTTCGATTATTTTTATTAACCTTTATTATAACTTTGAGAGTTGTTGTCAAAGTACTCCCTACTAATTATCGAGATTTCTACATCCAGCACACGACTGTAAGCTATACAAAACATTTTCCGATTCTAACATTTTCCTTTATTGGTTAGGTTAGAAAAATACTGTCTTAATTTCTTTAAACCAATTTTCTAATATTTATTTAATAATGATTATGATTAAAAATACGGTAGGTATCAGTTTATTATAATTAATATTATTTGAGGTCTTTTCGATGCAGATGTGATGCCCTATTCATTTAACTCCATAAATTAAAATAAACACGCTCGGCGTATATATACAGTATCACACTCGATTTTTTTATTAATTCGTCATATTATCCAAGTATAGTTTGATGCCTACGCTAAACACCCTGTTTTTCGATTTCAAATAGATTTAGCAATCTCCTTTTCATTTCTACCTTTTAAGCTTCTATGTATTTACTACTATTGTCAAAATCCCTAGATAGTTAATTTGTCGTTTAGTTATTTTAAAAATTATACTTTTCATGAACAGAATACACTGAACCTTACTGTTTGCCAAATATATTATCCAATAAAAATAAAACTGAGAATATTTTACATAATATTTATGAAGTTAACATGTTATCTTATAACAACAAATAAAACATTGCCATTTAAAAACCTGAATTTGAATATTTGATTTTTTTTCTGAATGTATGAGAAAATTGGTGTTATTAATTAAATATGAGAAATTGTAACGATATGATATTGCAACTTTAAAATAGCAATTAGTAACAGATTGTATGTCTAAATTAAACGCACGCACACCTACCCGTGCCCGCTACATTGACAAACATTAATAATTATAAGGCAAACAGGTGTGCGCCTTATATTTATTTTAATACCTGAACCACACTTTCGTATAGTAACGTACGTATAAAACACAAATTACCGTTATGAGCTGGAGATACGCCTTGAAACTATTTTTAAAAAAAAAAAATATGTAAAATCAATATGTGAAATAACGTGCATCATAAACCATATTTATATGAACCATTTATCGTAGTTTGTACGTTATACATACGTTAGTAAATAAGTTGTTAATCAGTCAGTTGTAATACAATTTTGATCTTCAAAATGATCATTCATCATCATTTTTTTAAAACGCGTTATTTATTTAAATGCGTTACGTATATAAAAGAATTAACATACAACAATATACATACAGTGCATACAGGAAGAAATTACTTAAGAAATTTTTAATACTCTACATCATATTAATATTGAGTATCTTCTGTCGGAAATTATGAAATTACTCCATCGTTTGAATTAGGATATAGTTAAAAAACCAACACATTTCAAATAAACGTTTGTATTTATTTATATAAAATTTATTTAATTAATATTCCAATTTTGTCAAAAATCGAAGTAAAATCTCATTATCAATTAATTATCTCGAAAACTGTTTCTTTCTGCTAAAGATGAAGCCTGTATGCAACCGGTAAGAATTAACCGTTAAAGTCTTCAAATTAAAAAAAAATTAAACACCATACCGCATATGGTACGACTACGGACAATAAAGGTCCTTCGAAAGAAGCAATAAAAACGAATATAAATGATTTTCCTATAAACGAGAATCTACTGTGATTTTTTTATTAAGATAGTCACAAATAAAAGATTAAAACTTAAATAATATTCCTTACAAAACTAAACGCAGTAAATAAACTGACGACGACATCAATCAAGATGTCGGTCGTGTAAATTCTTTGGATGACTTCAGTTCAGAAAAAAAAAATTCATCGTAATATTGTTTTGCCGAATCGGCATCTAATAGGGGCTATATTTGTTTCTCTCTTTCGAGGTCTTCGTCGGCGTGTCGTCATCCTGGCGGCGCTGGTTGAACGATTTGTGGTTCCGATGTACGCCTGTGGTCTGAACGGGCTGTGTGTTGGTTCCGCCGAGGAGGTCGGTGAGTCCGCCGAGGGCGGTGAGGGAATTAAGGGCTCCGAGGGCGCCGGTCTTGGTGAGGAGTTGCGCGAGAGGGATGGCGGAGGCCAGGGGGTTGGTTGTAGCGCTGCTCGACCCGCCCGACGTGCTACCCTCCAGATTCGCCTTCTGGAGCTCCACACTGCGGGAGCGGGACTGGACTGTTGTAAAGGGTCAGGCGACAAGGTGGGCTGCCTCGATATGCTTTAATATTATTTGATGTTTATGCGACCGAAATAATAAAAAAAACCTGCGATAACTTGAACCGAGAGTTATAGATACGAATACAAGGAAAAATATATGAATAAGATAAGAAAATGAAAACAGAAAGAAAGAATGAAATAATATATCTGACCCTATTTTAAGATTCTAGTCTTGTGTACTCATACATAAAATAATTTATAAAAATTATAAATATAATAATTTATAAATATAAAATAATAATTAGCATAAAAGGAAATATTAAAGAAACAATATAATGAACAAGTCATCGCAGGTGGTCAATGATTGTAGAACACGTCTCGACGCGGCCCAAAAAGGTAAAGACAAATCAAAGGAAAATCTGTAGGATATCAAATAAATCCATCTGGGGCATATAGGTGAAATTTAATCGGGTAGAATGGATGCAATTTTTATTATCAGGCTTTCGGATGGAAAGTTAGGATTGTAAAATTCTATGTTTTCACTTACCTCATGTTGATGAGGTACTGAGCGAGCGCCACTGAGTCCGGGTTACCAGATATGGTAATAGTACGATCAGTGCTGCCACCTTCACGCTCCTCGCAATTTGATATCCGGATCATTGCTCCCGAGATTTGACGGATCTCAGCAATTTTAGTGCCGCCCTGAATGTAAAATAACAAAAAATAAATGTTGATACCGAGAATTGTTAAAATCATATTAGACTCGTGACGTAATTTGTACTTTTAAAAGTTATAGTTACAGCCTATATACTTCCCATTGCTGAGCACAGACCTCCCCTAATTTCTGAGCGGGTTTTACGGCCAGGAAGTGTACTTTTAATCTCTATAATTATGTAAAAGCAATTGTTCTCAGTTAGTCTCACAAATTCAAAAATGGCTTTTAATGAAATTGTTTGTGTGTTTGAGTACCCTGGCTGTATTTACAATTAGATTACAATTAGATTTACAATTAGACCCGGTAGGTGGCGTCGTTGTCGAGATCCAGAAATCACCCGTGTGAAGTCGAGACGGATCGCTACTATAATAATTATTAATAATATTTCAGATATGCAGGTTTCCTCATGATGTTTTCCTTCAACGAAGTAATCTACAAATAAAATGTCAAGGGAGTTCGAGTTACCTTGCCAATAATACATCCGATGAGTTCATTAGGCACGGTCATTTCGTGAGACTGCTGGTTGGTAGCGGGCTGATTGCGGCCCTGGTTTGATGTGCGCAGTTGAGAGCCAGCCAAAGCGGCCAATGCTGAAGAAATGAAAAGAACACCTTACATACCTTATATCATTTATTAAGTGATTCAATAATATTTCATTTTAATATATGAAAGTATTATCAGCTTTTAATATAATTAATTAACCGTTTAGCAATAGTATGAACCACATCAAGTTAGGTCATTGTTAAAAGCGTTGAAATCATTATCATCACTAGTTCCAACCATGAGTGTATTGAAGAATTGAAGAATATAAGCATTCTTCTCGTTTCCAGTAAAAAGAGTCCTCGGTTCTCTAAACTCATACAAAACACAGCAGCATTAAGCTGCTATTTTATATATATATATATATATATATATATATATATATACATATATATATATATATATATACATATGAGTATATGTATATATATATAGGTATATATATATATATATATATATATATATATATATATATATATATATATATATATATACATATGAGTATATGAGAGCGTAGTCCCTCTCTGGTCGAAACGACCCTTTCGTGCTGCAACTATAAAATAGCTGCAACGGGGCTCTACCATACACAAATGGTTAAGGGGCATGAGAAGGATAACCACCTTTTCAAAATAATTTTGTGTGGTTGTTGGTTGACAGAGTTGAATCAGGTTAGCAACTACTTCTGTTTAATACTCTATACTCCTGTTTAATATTGAACGAGGCCCGAGCGATTCACAAATGGCGGTAAATTCAATTTCAAAATGTCAAAACCAATATTAATACTCTAGTAGTAGGCACATCTTTAAAAAAACAGTAATAACATTTCCTTATTCTACTTCATCAGCTCGTAAATGTTCACTGTTGGACATGGGCAGAGAAGATTTGTCTTAATTGTTATGCTTGACAGGCAGATTGATCATCGCAGTATGATACGCCTTGCACTTTTGAGGCTTGCAGTCGCCATCTTAGTTTTACATCTGGCGTAGATAAAATAGTAATACTGCCATCTATCGAAAGCCATTACATCTTCATTGTACTTCTCATAGTCGCCCCTTAAAACAGACATGCGACGATATGGGGCGATGAATTTTCTTATACGACCACATAGCCCAACTTCATTAATTGTAATATTTAATAGAACAATTATTAGTAATTGATGATACGCGTTATGCCTAAAAGACAAACTTTTGCATATAAGCAAGTCTTTTAGGCATAACGCGTGTCATCATTACTCTAATCTAGTATATGCCAGCCAGACAGGCGTAAAGAAAAGTGGGGTCCAACAGTGGTCCAGGTTTAGCAATGAACTTTACAGCATATTAAATATATGAATGTAGCCACCAACAGACTAACTTCTTCAATAACTAGATTCAATTAAAAGTTGTAAAACACATTATAGCGATAATTCAAAGGCCTGATTAAAGTAAATGGATTGATTATGGATGTATTGAAATTTAACTTCTATTTGTATAACAACACGAATATATAAAAAAACTTGAACTAAATAGAAGCAATTTAAAATAGTATTGTAGATGTGCGTTACAATTAAGTATGACATCAGTAGTATCAGTATTAATTAAGGGAACAAACATCCAGATCTAAATTGTATGCAAGATCGAAACCTTGGCGTGCAGGATCGCGACCTATCGCTTAGCTGTTATTATGGTTTAATAAAACAAAAACTTACCAGCCGGATTCAATCCACCAGTGTTAGCCGGCGCAAGACCTCCAAGTCCCAAAGCAGCGAGGCCAGCTAATGGCGATTTGGCTAAACCTCCAATCTATAATAAGATACATAGATATCGAATTTTATTATAACAGGACATTAAAAAATTTAAAAAAAAGTTTGTACAAGTATTGTAAAAGCAAAATAGTATTCAACCTCTTTAGCCCATTTTACAAATCAATCATCATGCTATAGAAATATCAAAACATATATGTGATAATATATAATTTTACATTTTTTTAATTAAATAAAAAGTAGCTTAAGAGGTAAGTAAAATATTCTTTTATAAACAATATGGTTTAACTACATAAAATATTTATTATTCGAATATTTCTTAAAATGTTAATGAGTTTTTACAATACTTTAGCGATATACCAAAAGAATAATAGTTGATAATATAGGATAACTGTGATTTCAGATTGTTCACGAAAACAATTTGAAACACTTCAATTTGTAACAATAAAATCCTATATTTTAAACAATATTAGCTCCAGCTGCTTGTTTTCGTCTTCACTGACATTGCCGGGATGGGATGCTGGATAGGGTAACCTGGGTAGAAAGTAGATTATAAAAATGTACATTATTAAGTCTAAGAAAATTCGCAATTTATAATAAGCATGATTAATTCAGACATAAGCCAAGCAAGTCCTGAAGTGACTTAATTGAATATTTTATTCAATATCTGAATTAAGCATACTCGAAAGAATAAAAGGTTTTTGAACGCAGACACGGAATTTCGGGAATAAAAGGGTTTTGCGAATTTTCTCAGCAATTACTAAAATCGTATCCCGACCACATTGTGAGTTTTGAATGATGCTGCCCAAAAGGTATTGGCAAAATTTTACCGAGTATAATTTAACAATCAGTATTACGGTCACGACATGCGTTACCTTGTTAAAATTTTGGAACGAAGTTCCTTATCGGTACACGGTACGAATTTGATGGATGGGGTCTAGGCGAGAAAAAGTGTAAGATATTTCCGTCACGACCCCCTTTCTATAGTACGAGTGAGACGGAATAATATCCATCTCCCTCGCACTTTTTCTTATCTTGCCATGAAAAAAATATTTTATTGTATTTTAATAGACGCTAGTAATTCATTTATTGGCATTTGTTAACCAATAATATAATCCGTTTATCAATAATAATATACTACGAAAAGAACTTCTTTCCAACCGAGTGTTCCACGACACTCACGCATGTTTTTGTTAATAATAAATTTATCGGACGAGGCGAGGTAAAGGCAAAATAAGGAAAGGTGCACTTATGGGACTGTTCGAAAAAACTTTTGCGTCGTTTCGTACTGTGATTTCAAATAACGTAAAAGCTTCATAATATGTCGGCGATGCCAGAAAACAAACAGATAAAGCTTGATGTTTACTACTAATGCCTTCGACTATAATTACACGATAAGTGTGCTGAAATTAATTAGGGGCATCTATCTACAAATCAATGGGTAGCGATTAAGGGTACCATCGGGAAATTAAGTGCATACATGGCAGGGTTTATTTTACATGGTTTCAAGCACAGGGGCATAAACAGCGCAAAGTAAATGAAATTAACCACTACATTCCATACGGCTGGGGATCTAATTACTAAATGTTCTTAATATTAATTTTCTGCTACACCACACATCCAAACCATTTTCAAGGGAGTCGGGGCAGCACCAATCACATAATAACACTCCTTACCAAACAACCTCATAGAGAAACTCAAAATTAACATTATGGGGAGAGACCGATTACTCTTTGCCAATCTAAAAGTTTCTTAATCGTTTTTGAAAACCGAATAAAATTTATGATATTATTTATCAACACAGCTATTTAGATAACAGTTCAAATCATATGTAATATATGTTTCTGATCATCGACATCGAATAAACTACAGCTTACAGATAAAATTGGGTCTCTTTCTCCAATCTGTGTTCATATAAAAGGTTTTAAAAGCTAGGCTTGACCTATTGCTAGACCATGACGACGGTAATAAAATGTAATGATTTAATATCATATATCCTACGCATTTATTGAAAGGTATTTATTTGTGGGAAACTTTCATATAATAACAATGGGAACCTTTGGAAACACTGTCAAAACGCTTTGTAAACAATAAAAATTTTTTGAATTTATGTCCAAAATATTGGGCTACATTTTTAAAATATAAGACGAAATCAATTAGTGTTTATATTATATTGTTGTAGGACAAATTAAACACATCAAAGATAATAATAGCTTCATATTAAGAAAAAAAAAATGGATTTATATGTTTGTTTTTGCTGTACGTATAGCAATTTTTTATTCTTAGAGAAGTGTGAAAACGATGTTATTGCTATTTCTATATAGTTTGAAATATTGGTACATTATGTCCTTTTAAATAACTTAAAATCTTTACGAAGATATAAAATAGAAATGACCTAAGTACCTTACCTACTTATTGCTATATTGTTTATGAGTGTGAATTTTTATTTTTCATTATTTACATTTATTATTTAAAAAATATAACAGTTTACGAAAATATTAAGATGAAATTAAATATAGAATAAAAATATCATAATATCTTAATTTGCAGATGAGCAGTAACTAACAAGTGCGATAATGAACGCATAAGTTAACCCTTCAAGCTTTAAATCTGATAATCGCGTAGCAATTGTACAGACGGGCCCTGGGATAGGGCCCTTTTTACACGTACACGATTGCTGACATACACTGTGGTTATGTGAGAAGGGCGTCAAGGTCTCTATGAGGTGATTGGTGGGTAGCGGCACTCACAAGGTGGTGTTCGTGGAGCGGCGGTGGTAGCAGATGGTGCGGCGGCAGCGCGCCCACGAGGGGCGGCTTCACCTCGAGCAGGGGGAACATCGGTGCGCACACCGCCTGCACACCACGCCCCGACACACGGAGTCTTACGTTACATCGGTACAACAGTGTCATCCAACATCGTAACATACACGCAGGGCGTAGATAAAACTAATAAGGGACGCCCAGTAAGCAAACACTAAGTACAAAAATCTTAATCTTGACTAAACCGTTTGCAATGAACTTACAACAACAGCTAGAGAGCAATTATGGGAGTGATCTAGTCTATATTGTATCCATAAAACCTTGGAGATAATTTTCTTCATAAAGCATAAATTGACAAAGTTAATCACCTTTGATTATATTAAATCTAAATAACACAACATTAATATTTTTTTTATAGGATAGGGTGACAAACGAGCACACAGTCCACCTGATGGTAAGTGGTTGCTGTGCCCCATAGAAATCTACATCTATCCTCAATAAAAACTCAAGATGCAGATGCGTTGTCACCCGTGAGTACCAAGATGGAATGCCTCTTTGCCAGTAAAAAGGGTCTCCGGTTTTCTAGACTCACCATACGAAACACAGCAGCGTTAAGCTTCTATTTTACGCTGGTTTTCTGTGAGAGCGTGGTCCTTTCCCGGTCGAGCCAACCCATTCGTGTTACAACTATACTACTAATATAGCTGCAGCATGGCACTACCACGTAGATTCAGGTGAAGCGAGACAAATCGATGGTACAATATGATATAAAAAAGTAAGCCACAGTCTTCCTTCCGCTTACTTGCTAAAAAAAACCAAATGTATGGTGGAATATCTGCCACCAATCAAACCAAAATATTGACTATAGGGCAGGAAAACATTGTGCTCACTGTGTTTTTATCTATCTATGATTAGATGTGTCCTCCCAATCAAGTCAAACGGTACTGTGGGCTGAAGAGTATTACTTTGCTGTATGTTTTTCTTTATAGTATAAGGTTATAAACGAGCACACAGTCCACCTGATGGTAAGTGGATACTGCGGCCCATAGACATACATATTTATACTCGATTAAGAATCAAAATGCAGTAACGAGAATGGTACTCCATTAAAGGGCGTCTCTTATTATTCTACGCGCTTCGTCTATCTTTTTTTTGTCTAAGCAATTTCGATATGAACTATTCTCAAATAAATAATTATAAAACACTCTTCAGAACGAAAGCTTTGACATTTCTGTACAGTTTCTTAATTATTAAGGACATGTTTTGTTTATAGTTTTCTTCCATAGCATTATATATGAAATGTTAAAAAACCGTTTCTATTGCAAAATATGAGTGAGTATTATTATAATTGGAAATACTGAATGACTGCTTAAAATAAAAATGAGTAACGATTTGAATAAAGATAGAGGTTCTAAACATATATTTGTCTTTGATGTAAATATTATTAAAAATTTAAACAGGGCACAAAATATCACTTATGATCATCGTCCACTGCTGGACATGAGACTCTCCTGTTAAGGAGTATTTGCCTTGATCACCACGCTTTGTAGGCAGATTGGCGATCGAAGTCAGGACCTTTGACGCTTATATTATTTATATTCTAAAAAAAATTATCTCTTTTTGTGATTTGTACATTTCATGGTTGATCTTATTATGTACTCTGATGATGCCGTGATGCAACGTTTAGATACTCGCCGAGCACCGAATAATAGGGACGAGTACAAACATGTAAATGCCTTGTTCGGGTGTGCTCGCTATTCGACCCGAGTATTCGCCTGTTCTCCACTCGATGTCGATATATATAACAATAAAAATACCTACCTACTGTGATGGATTGGAGTATATGGGATCTATGGGTATTGAGTGTATATATCCCGTGATATGGGATCCTAGAAACCGCTTTTAAATAAATATTAATAAAACTAAAATGTTTGCGAGTCTACAGATATTCAGTAGACAAAGTCATAGCAATAAGACGCACGTTAATATATAAATGCGTCGTACTCTTCGACGAATAATTCGGCGAGTTGTTCGTCCGATAATCTAATAAATTAAAATAATATTACTGAAACCAGTACACACACATGTCTGTCTATGTCTATATCTACAAATCACAAAAATGAAGATGAATTTTCACCAAGTGACAACAATAATCGAAAGTATAAAGCGTCACACACACACACACACACACACACACACGCACACGCACACACACACACGCACACACACACACGCACGCACGCGCGCACACACACACACACACACACACACACACACACACACTATAGCGAATTTATACATTCACTCGAAATCCTTGTGTGTTAAAATTCATTGAGCTTCATAGAGAGCGATATTGAAAGATATGCGGTCAGATACAGATCTTCTCGTATCTGTGTAGTGTGTGACATGCTTTAATTATAGAATGATCTATGTTCCGATTTTTAGAAAATACTAGGACAAATACCACAGGTCTTTGACTTCTTAACTTTTACTGTCTGATGTGTTCGTAATTATAATATACCATGCAGTGGTGGCACAAGAGAATCCACTACCACATATTATGCTGTGGGTGTCGTAAGAGGCAACAGAGGGAAACTCATTGAGAAAGTGGAACGATTGCCTAGCTATGTAGTCATAAAAGAAGAATGTGTATTAACAATGTTTTCATTAAATAAAATTAGATAAAAAGATTGTAGCAGAGTTTTAAATATTAAGAAATGAATGACAAATCAAATCATCACCATTACAAAATGTTCAATCAATCTGATATAATTAGATAAACTAAATGTTTGCGATCGTTTGCATTCTCTAATTATGACGTGACGAATTACTGTTGTGCTAATGTACTATCCTAATTCAATAAATTATAATTAAGTAATAATCGGATTACCGATTTCCTTCATACCTATACTAATTTATTTAATTATTTAATATATGAACAGTTAAAGGTATTTAGTTTACATTTTAATTTAGTGTTTAAATGATTTAATATATATATTATGATATACATGATAATAATTAATGTTTACACAGTAAGTTTTGATCACACATTTGCATATCTTGATGAAATTATCTGTTGAAAATAAACTGAAACATTAATTGTATACAATTGAAACAAAATATAAATCATATAAATAACAATACATATTTATACTTACATCCTGAGCAGGGACTGCATAATTTCCCTGGATGGTGTAAGCCTGTCCTCCAGCTAAGATAACAGGCCCTGCTACATTAGGCTTTGGCCTATATGGAATTGTTGCGCCTTTTGGTGGGCTCTGAAAATACACAGGCAACATTATATACAATACACACCAAACAGTGCTAATAAAACAGTTATATTTAAAAACTAATAAGATTTTGTTACGCAACATGGGTTCAAAATACATTAAGGCGAAAAATAGATTATATATGCCAATTGACTGACTCGCTGGTCTGGTGATCGTAAGCGCTAATGCCGGTAATGTGGTCTTGGTTTCTAATCTCAGGTTGTGCCCAAATCAGTTATTAGGGTTTTCTGACAGGAAATTCTCCAGCGAAGACCTGGAGTTAGGAAATCGGCGATGTTTTGGAACTAAGAGATACTATCTTGACTCGTCAATTGATCTTCGCCATAATTGCTCCATGATAACCCAAGAAACACACAGCTCGACCAAGTCGTTTTAACATTACAAGAGCTGCAATTAGCAATCATATCATAAGTCATCCTCCGTACTCGTTAGACCTAGCCCCAACCGATTGTTATTTTTTTCTAAACATTTTTATTCTAAGGAAGCATTACAAAATACCTTCATAGACTGTACACAAAGCCATAAATAATCTTCTCTCAAGAAGGCAGATATGTATAGATAATGAGGGTAAGCATAAAATTCAATATAAAATGGCAATATCATACTCTAACCCATAACATTTACTCCTGGTTTGGCTGTTTGTCCTTATGCAATTTATGAAACAGAGGTGTTTCATAAATTGTAATACTGTAACTGAATAAAAGGAATTCCTTAGTATGAGACGACGTTTGACATTTTTAAATTAAGAAAATATTGGATATTTTGCCCTTAATGGTATCAGAGTTAGAATTATCACTTTGAATTTTAAACTTGTCTCATTGCAAAAAATTTTTACGTTTGAGATTTTATCTTAGTCCAAAATGTATACAAACATCAAACACTATACAACAACCAATTTTTCGAAATTTTACCACAATGCAATGTAATATGTAGAGGGAGCAAAACACAAAATTGACAAATACATATGTGCAAATACAACAATTTATATCTTTCCCTGCTGTCCCATATACCTCCCCTCTCAGTCAACACTTCGCAGGCGCATTTAGTATGGCGATAATAATAATAATAAATAATTAGCAAACTTCAAACAAAAATATATTTTCAGAACATGCAATTATAACTTCATGTTCCATGTTCATGCTCTGTTTCTTGATTAATAGCACATGCTCAGCAATGGAATGAGTTTTTTAAGCTTTGCTTAGTCTCAAAAAAGATAAAATGTATTTATTTATGAACCACTCCACAAAAATAATACACAACACTGACCTCTAGCATAACACAGCAGATGTGATAAATGCATTGAGTTATAGCATCACAGGTGCCACTTATTGTCACAGCTCTCTCAGTTGAGTTAGGCAACATTTCACTTGCTACCTGCAAAACAAATGAAACATAATACATGTTATATTCAATTTATTTGCAATTCAGTGTAGACAAATTTCATTCTCAGATGTAATTTGGTTTTAAGCTCCAAGGAAATGTTTATTATATAAAAACTTTTACAGTAAATTTGTAATAACTAGACACAGATATAGTCACTATTACTATTAACGTCAACATAATGGATATAGGCTAAAAAACTAAGTCCAATAAGATACCTTTGTTCATCAAAGATTTAAAATAAAGGTAAGTTACCTCTGAGAAATAACCTCGAAAGACTAATTTCCATCATTTAAGGATTATGCCGTTCTAGTCACTCACAGTATTGAATACTGCAGAGCTTTGGTATTGATATTGCACTAGTATTTTATAAGTGCATTCCAAGATTATTTTACAAAAGTATTTTCCAAGATATGCAGATCTGTTTACATACTACCATCTAGTTACGTTGAGTTTTTAATGTGCAGTTCAAGTATGTATGTGTAAATAATATTTTTTTGTATTAATATATTATTTTCTAAGACATACCTGAATGTTAGCTCCGGTGACATCACGAATTTCTTTAATTTTGGAACCACCTTTGCCAATGAGTGATCCACACTGAGAGGCTGGAACGATAAGGCGTAGAGTAATGGGGGCGCGTGAACCACCACCGCCACCTTCATTGAATTGCGAACACCACTGTAAGACAACCAAATATTTATCTTATTAAGTCATAGCTTACACATGAATATATAAACTCTATTAACTATGAGTATATTAGAGTACTATCAGTTTATGTTATATATCCCTACAAAAAATTCCCAAAACTAAATTTGCCAAGTTACAAAATAAGCCAAGTTCAGTTACGAGCTACCGTCGGGGTTGTAAGGAGTCACTGATAAGAGTTAAAAACTGAACGGGTACTAAGTTAGCAGTTCCTTAAATCATAGCTATAGGAATATACAATGATCTTCATTTGTTACATTTTTTGATACTGAATTTGTAACTTGTTAAGTTTTATTTCCAACTAATTGTTGTAGTATAAAATAGAACAACGAAAATAATTTAATTTTAAACATGTATTCAATATAATTATGTTTATTGATTTATTGAAGTTATAATAGTCAATAAATTAACTATTATAACTTACCAAGTTATAAATACAATACTAACAGCAACAATAATTTATCGACACTTTCGATACCAAATATTTTGGATCGAAAGTGTCGATTTTATCTTTGTATATACTATTGAACTATGGTATTGATGACATATTTCAAGTTTCTAAGTAATTTTAAAGTGGCCTAGGTTTTTGATGAGTCAGTGTTAGATAAAATTTTTAATCACCTTAATAAGCCTAACAAGAAACCGTCGAAAAAATAAAAAAAAATTAAACACTATAAATTTCCGTAATTACTTAACTTAAAAAAAAAGTGTGCTACAACAGTGTATATCGTAGAATTAAAGTCGCAACTTTAGAAGGTATTAAATAATGTAGAATTGTTTTCTTTACTTTTTTAAAAACTATTTAACCCTTTTGAGTGAACTATGCTTTAAGACAAGCTTCATATAACAACTAGAATTTTATAAAGCTAAAAAAACTAGCCAAGTGCGTGTCGGGCCACGTACAATGTAGAGGTAAGGTTCCGTAGTTGGCCGTCACAATACGTGGGCTTCGTTGATAATGAGCATAAAAAGTGAATTCGCGGTTTGACCACTATAACGACTAAAAATGGGCCCAAATAGAAGATAACTGAAGGACTTATTAAAAATATTATGATAATTCAACCCTATCTATCCTGCAAATGAAAAAGTAAAGCTAATAGTAGTAATGCATATAAGTCGTTTTCTTCATAAAATATATATTTTCTACAGACTTCAAAAAGGAGACAATACTCAATTCGACTGTATGTTTTTTTATGTGTGTTACCTCATAACTGGGTGAACCGATTTCGATGACTCTTTTTTTATTTGAAAGCTGGTGCTTCACATGTGGCCCCATATAAATTTCATCAAGGTCTGATCTCAATAGTTTTTGAGTTATTCTTAATAATTTATATTGAAGTAGGTTGTACAAAATGTTTAATTTTAAATTATATTATTAACAGTTTAAAATATCATTACAAAGTTATTATTGCAGCTAGTTTTTACATTTTTACAGCCATTTAGTTGGTAGATGAGGGGGGGGGGGGGAAGCACATGACTCTAATGTAAACTACCACTTTAAAGCTAAGTATTTCGCAAACGGACCCCTGAATCGAAAAGATGTTGTTCCAAACCCCCAGTGTTTTTGAAAGTCCTATCCAACCATACCCCACATGATGGAATAGACGGGTAAAAAAATCATCCTCAATTTACTTGTAGGGGAGTATCTAAAATAAAAATGTTTTTTAAGTTTTTATTTCAGTTTTCTAGGCGTGATTCATCATTCATCATTACAGCCCTTCACAAGTCCACTGCTGAACATAGGCCTCCCCCAAAGAATGCCACAAAACACGGTCCTGAGCCACCTGCATCCATCGACTTCCTGCATGTCTTACCAGGTCGTCACTCCATCTCGTGGGGGGACGCCCTACACTTCGCCTACCGGTACGAGGCTGCCACTCGAGAACCTTTCTTCCCCATCGGTTGTCGGTTCTTCGAGCTATATGGCCGGCCCACTGCCACTTCAGCTTACTAATCCGTTGGGCTATGTCGGTCACTCTGGTTCTACTGCGGATATCCTCATTCCTAAGTTTATCACGCAGAGAAACTCCGAGCATAGCCCTCTCCATAGCTCGCTGAGCGACCTTGAGCTTCCTCATACGGCCAGCAGTGAAGGACCACGTCTCAGTTCCGTAAGTCATCACTGGCAACACGCACTGGTTGTACAATTTCGTTTTAAGGTTTTGAGGTATGTCTGACGAGAAGATGTGTCGTAGCTTCCCGAACGCTGCCCAGCCGAGTTGAATCCGTCGATTGACCTCTCGGTCGAAGTTGGACTTACCCAGTCGGACTATTTGTCCCAGGTAAACATACTCGTCAACAACTTCGAGCTTAGTGTTCCCAACAACTATCGGCATAGGTGTGACATGGACATTAAACATGATCTTAGTTTTGTCCATGTTCATCTTAAGACCTATCCGTTGGGAAACACTATTGAGGTCATTGAGCATAGTGCTTAGGTCCTCCAGCGATTCTGCCATAAGGACTATATCGTCGGCAAATCGAAGGTGAGTGATGTACTCGCCATTGATGTTGATACCGTATCCTTTCCAGTCCAGAAGCTTGAAAACGTCTTCCAATGCAGCGGTGAAGAGTTTCGGGGATATGACGTCACCCTGTCTTACACCTCTCTGCAATTGGATAGGTTTCGTACTCTGGTTCTGTACTCGGATAGCCATCGTAGCCCTACTGTACAAGCACTTCAACACTTCGATATACCGACAGTCAACTTGGCACCGCTGAAGGGACTGCAGCACCGCCCAAATTTCGACGGAATCAAAGGCTTTCTCATAGTCCACATACGCCAGACATAGTGGCAAATTGTACTCTTCGGACTTCTGTACAACTTGCCGAAGGGTATGTATGTGGTCTATGGTGCTAAAGCCCTTTCGGAAACCGGCTTGTTCGGGAGGCTGGAAGTCGTCAAGTCTGCGCGCGAGACGATTCGTAATGACTCTCGAAAACAGCACGTAGACGCGGCTCAGAAGGGAAATCGGTCTGTAGTTCTTCAAGAGAGCGTTGTCACCTTTCTTGAAGAACAAGACCACCGCACTTCTGCTCCACGCCTCCGGTGTAATGCCACCATGGAGGACGGAATTAAAGAGCTTCTGAAGGACTTCAAGTACCGGTCTTCCACCCGCTTTCAGAAGCTCCGCTGTAATTCCATCCTCGCCTGGGGCCTTACCGTTTTTAAGGTGCTGGAGAGCCATCCTAATCTCGGTCAGACTGACATCCGGGATATCTTCGGAATAGTGTCGGATGAGACTCGCTCTTGGATCGTTACTCACACTTGCGTGTGGCTCCAACGATGATGTGTACAGCTGCCCATAGAACCTCTCAATCTCACTCAAAATCTCAGGTGTCCCGGAAACGATGCTGCCACATTCTGTCTTCAGCTTTGACAGTTGGCTCTTTCTGGCAGACAGATATCTGGCAAAGACTTTGGAGCCTTGGTTCCGCTCGATCGCTTCTTCAATACGAGCTGTATTGAAGTTGCGTAAGTCCCGCCGCATGCATTTGGAGATCTGTCTGTTCAGATGCCTGTATGCTGTCAAGTCTGTTGAAGAATGTAGCTTCATCTCCCGTCTAACAGCCATGAGATTAAGAGTGTGATCGGAGAGTTTTTGTGTTCTTCTGCGGCGGGTCTTGCAGAACTTAGCTCCAACCGCATGGACAGTTCATAACTATGCCAAATTACAGATTTGTAGCACCTCTCTGAGCGAAACCGTGGATGGACGGACGGCCATGGCGAATCTATAGGTTCCTTGATGTGTAACTACGGAACCTAAAAAGAATCCTTTTTAGGAGTCCACAATTGGCGACGATATATATAAAAACATACAATGGAATTGCAAACCCCCTTGTTTTTTGAAGTCCGTAACAATTTTGCATATACATCAAAAAATCATTATGTGAACCAAATGATTATTAATACATTGTGAGTGTTGCTTGTTTATAAACAGGCGGAAGAGAATTTCTTGCAATTAAGTTCATACTGGATTTAATATTCATGGAAATCTATTACCTACTTTGGCCTGAAGTGTGATTGCATAATTCTAGTAATAATTATAGTAGGTTACAAAGTGCAGTAATAATGAAAAAACAGCGGAGTTATTCCCACTGAAAATAATTCCAACCAGAGTTACACAATCACATTACAGCTTTTAGAAATTTTCAATGGAACGACAGCTCCGTGGCGCAGTGACTTAGAAATAAGTTGCAGCGTGGGTTCGAATCCCGCACGGAACAAGTATTTGTACGGCCTATAAATAATTGTTCCCAGTCTGGAAGTGTGTCCTTGTGAAATGTATGTATGTAAGCTGCCTCCACGCTACAGGAAACTATTCGAGTATGGAAGTAACGTTTAAAAAATGGAATAGGTGGCTTACTATAGTCGAGATTTTCAAGGATTCTTAACTTTGGCATTTCGTTAATTAAAGACAACAATTAAACAACTATACTTTTTTACTAACTATATCTCATGCTCAATTTAACAACTGCCTATTATTTTAGTGTTATCATTAAAATTGCTCTAAATGTACTTTATGCACACCAAATTTGTTTGTAATTGCCCTACATGTACAACAAGTAATTTTATAAAAATATTTTGTATTACGTTTACGTTTTTTTATCATATTCTTGCATTGTCATCAGAATTTGAGCCATATTCAAAATTTCAAGTTTCCATCTCATGGGGAAGTTAGTTTAAAATCAATTACTAAATTCCACCCAGAATGACACACAAGTAGACTTAATAAAAATGTGATAAAATATATATTTGTATACATACATTTAATTATCTAAGTGCCATCATGCATATTACAACTTTGTGAAAGTCATTAAACAAATTGATAAATTAAAATTACAATTAAAATAATTACATGACAACAATGTATGATAAGTCACAATAGCTCAGGGACTAAATATTGTGGCAATGCAAATTATTAACCAATACTGCCACATGCTTAACCCTAAAACCCTACATGGGGTGCTGGGATGCCCCAGGGAGGTTTGTTTCTTAAATAATTCTGCTTATGTCAACCTACATATTAGAGATTTCGTGTTGTTTAAATCCACTCCTAATTATCGGTTTAGCATCGAGCATCGACAGTCACTCTGTGTGGAGGTGTCAATAAATGATGTGGGGTACCTCAGCACCCCAGTGTACAAATACCATAAGTATTTTAATTTTCTTATGTATTACAGTTTTCCAAATTTATTTAATAATAAATTAATGTATTAGTATATTTTGATAGTAACCTTTATATAACTTTTTTTTTTAATGAAGTCATTAAAAATATACGAAAATCATAATTAAAGAGTATGTTTTGTAAAAGGAATGAATAAAGGAGATCAATGGAGATGTAATAGTGAAAAACCAACAGAAATCAAATTGCTTAACGTAACACATTCTGCATGTGATGGGCAACCATTTCAAGAGCAAATAATTTGCCGGAAAGTCTTGATGCATATTAATGAAGAAAAAAAAATCAGATTTAGACCATGTCAATGAACATTTGGAGCTAAGCTTTCAAAAACCGAATTTGAGTAGGTATATAAAGTCAATTATAGCTTTCTTTTCAAAAAACTATGGCAGATCAAAGTTCTGTTCCTGTATATCATACATAAGGCTTTTCCCAAGAAATAAGGATAGAAAAAACAAGATGACATATCATACATGTAAAATAACAATTTGTATGGAGCAACAATTGTGTCTGTGAAAATGCTAAAATTCATATTACATTTAGATATTGAGACTGATTTGGTTTCTATTAGTTTATAATAAAGTAACAGTTCCACTAATTGGTTTTTATTTAAAAAAATACATATATTTTAGTATGGGTTACTCCAGCACCCCTGTGTAGGAAAAACAAGTATACATGTAAGTTTCTAAATTTGATGGTGAAAAAAAAAACACAAATGAGAAGAGGCCAGGGATTATGACTGGGATGTTTATAATAGGCTATCTAACTTTTTCTTGGATATATTAAAAAAAAGAAGTAGTTAATAAAACATTTTAATTTACATACCTCTTCAAATTTTTTGCAAATAAGTGTAAATGCTTTAAAGATAGCACTTGTGTTGCCAGTGACCGTAACAATCCGCTCCGGGCATGATCCATCAGAAATATTTATTTTTGCTCCAGACTGAAATCATAAATAACATTTTCAGAAAATGTTGGTACTGATATACAAAGATATTTTCAATGTATGCATTTCAATATGGTATTAAAACCAAAAACATTTCTTCTTTAATAAGATAATATAAAGAAAAAAACATACCTCTTCCCTAAATCTCTTTACAATCTCTCCCTTTTTTCCTATGATACTGCCAACTTCCTGTGGAAGAAAAAAAACAATGGTATTAAAAATTACAAGTAGTAAGTAGTAAGCTTCAATTGGGAATTGTAGTTCAAAATTACATCTGTGCTAAGATTACACTATTGGCAAGTATTGTGCAATAGGTGGAGGTATAATTAATGCAGTAGCACTTCGATTTATAGTACAAAAGATTTCCTGTCTGGTAGCCAATAATAGCCACAGCATCGAGTGATTCTTTGCAGCAATAATAGATGCAGCAGCGATGCATTTAGACAATTTTAGAGTGACTGCATTAAAACAATTTGTTCCTGGCGACTCAGCACATTGACTCTTAGAGAATGTGAGACATGTAGTGTGGGCATCAAAGTATTTAACATAAAAACAACATTAATAGTGGTGTTAAGTGGAATATTTGACAGAAACATTTTTAATTATAAAATTAAAACTACAAAAACAATGAAGAATCATGCATGTAAGAGAATTTTCATTTGATAACCATATAGTGAAATATTTCATACACATACGGAACGATTTTTCTTGTAATTGAATATAGAATCAATATAAAAAGTAAACAAACTAATGCAAAAAGATAAAATGGAAATGTATCAGTACTCAAGAACTAGAAGTCAACAAATATCATACATTATTTCAATTAGAAAAAAATACAAATCAACATGTGTGATGAACAGGCCAAGTGCTGATAGTTGGCTTATTGCCAAATATATTTTGTATTGGATTATAGCCAATTAAAAGTAGGTACTTTGCTGTATAGGTACATGTTAGCATCAATATGTCACACATCAGTGCAAACTACTGCATGTAGGTGTGCTTAATTAGTTCTCTATGATTTAGAAATGAAACACTTTAAAGTTATTATTGTCATATTAGTTTTAATTCACTTTGAATGTTGATGGTTCTATGTTCAATTGATTTTTCATAATATGGCTTTTAAAGTTTAGTCACTAAGCAAGTACGAGTAACATATAAACAGGATCTCGTGTTAAGCACCCATACAAGTGTTTACTATCTAACAAGATTGAAATACCATGTCACATTAGTGTTCAGTATTTTTATAATATTTAACTCTTTTACGTAGCATGATACAACCTTTTTATCATTTTTTATTACATGTAAAAATATAACTGTAAATTCTTTTAAAATGTTAACAAAAATTAATAATTGAAGAGTATTTAGAAAAAGAATTGGTAGATTAAATTAGGTAAAAACAAACAAATGCATTTTATAGTTATTGAAATTGTACGTTGGAAAGATGTTATATAGAAATTTTTTTTTTATTATAGTTTTTAATATATATAATAAAATTCCATACTTCTGAATAACCATATAGAAATGTTCAAATATTACAAATTTTATATTTATTTAATAAAATCCAACGAATTGTTTTTATGGTTGTTACTCACCAAAATCAATATCAATTTAAGAAATGCCTAAACTTGCTCCTTCTTTTTCCTCTAAATGACAATAGAAAAATACAGGTATGGAGATAAAACTTACTATATTTACTTAGGTGATAGATCAAAAATTATAAGTAAGGCCGTTTGTGTTTAACCACTGACTACTAACCGCTGTGGTGGCTATTTTGGGTTTTCATTAAAATTATTATTCAGTTTTTAGCTGCCTTCAACGAAAATACCAGAAAGGGGATTAGTTATTTTAAGTACAGATAAAAATAATAAAAAAATATTTTGGTGGTGTAATCTACATCAGTGGCGTCCAAATTCTACACTATAATTGGCATTTTAGTGGGAAAAAATGATTAAGTCTACTAAAATGAATTAAGAACTACAATGTTAAAAGTAAGAAGAAGGTAAAGTGCACACTTTCACATAATAAACAAGATAGTTTAAAGTGTAAATGAATAAAAGTGCCAATGTTTTAATTTAAAAATGGAAGTGCCCATTTCTTACCTTCCCCTGCATAATCAGTCTGATAGTGAGGGTGACTTTGGAGTCTTCCTCGTGGAGAGGCGTGGGGGCTTTCTCCAGTTCCATGCTGGAGGAGGTGTCCGTTGTGTCGCGCGGAATTTTGGCGGCGTACGGGGCTACGTGTGGGCAGGGAACACTCCACTCAATCTAATGGCTGGGACTCGGGGCTCTTGGCACTCACTGCAGGCAGGGTAAGCTGGAAACAGGCGCATATCTCAAAGGAAAATTCAAAGGTTTCGAGCGTTCTAAAGGTGGTGTAGGGTCATGGGTTGTCGTCATTTATTAAGCAAAGCTAATTACCAATTATTTATTTACAGTGGCTATCGGTGGTAAGCGTAACGGAATGAGGGCGGCAAATGAGGATGTAGATACTATAATAAACTAACTGGTCCCAGGTCCGACCGGATTCCGCGGCTGTAACGCGAGTCTACTGCCTCGAGCCGCGAACCGTTACTTGAACTCGACTACTAGTTCGCGACTCGCGACATAACCTCAGCGTCGCGCCTCATGGCTAGCCGACCGGGTTATCGATCTCAAAAATCCCAAACAAATTCCATCGACGTACTTTTACACTTTTTCCTTACCTCGTATAGTATTCCCTTGTACAACAATAACATAACAAATCTTAACACTAATATTATCACCAAGATGTGTATAAAAATGACACTTATCACAATTTTCTTAATCACATAAAATTATAAAACTAATAAAATCCGACGTAGATGACGCGTCGGTATGAAGCTTGTGATTGTCAGCAATTGTCAGACGAACAGACGATTGTTAGATCATAGCGCCTCTAGTGGCAAGAAGCTAAGTAATTTTGACAAGCGACTGACTTTTGACCACAGACAATTATTATTTGTCGGTAAAACAGTATTAAAGGCTATCCACATACATTATGTTCGAAAAGTGATAAGGTTGGGTGGGCAGTACTCGGTCATCAGTCAAGAGTCATAGTCACAGTCTTATTCATAAAAAAAACCCTAAAATGGCGTTATAACAGTAATTAGTTAAAATGCTCATAAGTACTATTAAACCTATTTTAAAATTCTCTATTCATAAACGTTCAATAAATCTGTCATAGTTAAATCGCATTTATGGTATACTTCATTTTTATTATGTTGCTACTCTGATGAATCCGTAGACTAGCCACGGCGAAAAAAAAGTTTGACAGTAATGGGGGCTAATAATCTTCCACTCACCAGATGTCGCTAGTTATAACCGAGTTAAAGTTTTACACAGTGTCAGTTAATTGAGATCTAGAGTATTATATTAATACACAACACAATGCGTCAGTGGCTTGATTTTTAATTTTTTTGCACTTTATAACTCTTAAAAAAATCTACTTTTAGTTATACCGGGTGTTACAAAAGTACCCGTAAAGCCGAAAGGAGGTTAAATGGGGGCTTATAACGAGTCCATTCACAATATTTAAGAACCGTAGTAACGCTGTATAACATCCCCAAAAAACATAATAAATATTATTATTTTCACTGATGTGCAAACCCTATTTCAGTAAAATTAAAAAGTAAACTACGCAGATTGTACCTACATTTCTACCTAATTCGCGGAACGACAAAAATTTTAAAAAACCTAACCTAACGAAACAACTAAAGAAAAATGTGAAAAGAAAAGTGTGCTCCGCCTTGGTCAATACACAACCTCGCTCGTCGGGATATGGGTTGTGTGGCATTTCGCACCATCGTCGGTGTTATTGATGCGAAAACCAATCTAACACGCTGTTTCATCTCGGCAACCGTTGGGCAATCGGAGAAATACACTCTGTCCTTCACATGACCCCACAAATAGAAGTGCAAGGGTGTGAGGTCCGGAGAATGAGCAGGCCATAGTACCGGTCCCCCGCGGCTGATCCATCCTTGTCGAAAGTGAACGTTAAGATGTTCTCGTACGTTGCGAGCGAAATGTGCCGGAGCTCGATCATGCTCAAACACCGTGTTTCTTTGGTTCTCAAAGTAATCCCAGTCAGCCACAGGAAAGTCGTCAATCGTCTCTTCGAATTCCGTTTGTAAAAACGTTAAATAGTTGCTACCGTTCAAACGTGATGGCATAATGACGGGACCGATGACATGCCCGTCATAAAGGCCAGTCCACACATTCTGCCGCCACTGGTATTGGAATCTGCCCTGTCGTGAAGCATGTGGATTCACGCGAGCCCAAACGTGATCGTTTTGCATATTTGAAACTCCTGACCTCGTGAATGTTGTCTCGTCCGTCCAAAGAACATAGTTTACGTAATTAGGGTTTTCCTCTAACTGCCTGAGGTACCACTCGCAGAAGTTCCTCTTGGGTGCAAAATCTGAGGGTATCAGCTCCTGTGTACGGCGATACTGATAAAAGTGACGATTGTCGTCACGAAGAATTCGCCAGACTGCAACATGGTTAATACCGAATCTTGTTCCGGCTCGCCTCGTACTTGTGGTCGGCTCTTCTTCAAAATACTCTAACACTAATTCAGCTTGCCTGGCGTCGGCTGTGCTTGGACGTCCACTTCCAGTAGATCGATGAAAAGAGCCGGTGGAATGTAGTCGTCTTGACATGTTCAGAAAACACTGGTACGAAGGCAGCAGTCGCTGTTCAGTGGGCGATCTTCCATCGTTAAATTTTTGCCGATACTGTTCGAGAGCACGATTTAAATTGCTATCTTCATGACCTACGCATAACATCATATCGTAATATTCCGAGTTAGGAGGCATCGTTATTTTGCAAAAAATGTTGGAAAAACAAACTCGAAACAGTTGTAGGATATTAATTTGAAATTGACTACATATTTTTTTTTCAACTTGACATTTTTAGAAGCCAGTACTTGAATTGTGGTAGCAAACATTTATGAATGATAAATAGAAAAACTATTAAAGTAGACAATTATTAGGTAAAATAGCTACGTAGGCATTATGAACCCAACTAAGTATCTATTTATCAACCAAAAAAATATGTATACCTTACTTCACCACCCGCACCACACGGTCACACTAGTGCAATATTCATATAATATTCCCCAGGGGTTTACGTGGAGCTTCGGATTATATTCCCAAGTCACAGTGATAAAATTTTTAGCATAGTTAGATATAATATAATCAGTAATGCTCTTGAAGTGCCACTAGACGCCCGCGCATGAGACGCGCGGTTCAATATGCCAGGAAACCAGGATAGTATAAATTCCATAGTATTTGATACTCACAACACAGTGGTAGAGCCACGCGGCAGCTTTTGCTGTCGCACGGATGGGCCGGCTCGAACCGGGGTGGTACCACGACCTCACAGGAAACCAGCGTGAAGTGGAGGTTTCTGCGTTTCGCTTGGTGAGTGCAGGTGGCCGGAGGCCCTTTTTACTGGAAATGAGGCATTCCATCTTAGTCCTCACGGGTGACAACGCATCTACATTTTGATTTGTAATCGAGGATAGATGTAGATGTCTATGGGCCGCAGCAACCACTTACCATCAGGTGGACTGTGTGCTCGTTTGTCACCCTTATTCTATAAAAAAAAAAAAAAAAAAAAAAAAAACGTTCGATGTCCGATTCATGATTGATGGCCAACGACATTGTGCTGAGGGCTTAAATAGCGTAGTTCATCGCCTACAGCGTTAGTCGTAGAGAAGAGAAACTCGTGGTTAAGTAATAGCTGCGCGGATCAATAGATCTGCCAGATTAAGTTGCACTTGTGGCGTTCAATCCATAAATGAGTGACCATTTTCTTAAAATACCGAGATTTAGAGAATAGAGAGTGCATCAGTATCCTCAGACACTTGGTGCACTTTACTCTGTTAAGATAATTATGTTTTTAAAATTCATGCAGCTAAAGTAATAATACGTTTATTATTACTTTATACTTTTCAGGGACAGATGAAAGAATATAAACATGAAGTATTGGTCATAAACATATAGGTCTTTAAACAGAGCATTCTTAGACTGCTGAACATAGGCCTCCCCTAAGAAATTTATTAAAATAACTTGCGGCCCATCCCGGCTTTGCCCGAGTTGAACAATAATTATTCATATTGACATCCTCGCCACCGCTGCGCTGCTAAAAAAGTGAGTTATCCTTAAGATTTACATGTGTTGTCGCAGCCTTTTGTAGAACTTTTCAAGAAGAACAATTCAGCCATTCATAATTTTCGTGCAACTTTAACTATTGATGCAGCGCACGCTGTGAAAGCTCTCAAGAGTCACGACTTTCTCCGACTTTGTTGACAAATATCATCATAAATAGGGAATAGTGCACCTTTCAAATGGTAAAAGAATTTTGCAAATTCCGGAGGACGGGAGTTTTAGAAGAGGCTCCTCCTTTATAATTATTTCACTAATAGATAGTGTAGGGCTCACACCGCACTTTTTCTTACCTTGGCATATTAATACTCGTCGTAACTTGCATATAAGCATATTAATACTCCTCGTAAAGTGTTGAATTCACGTATTTCTCGAAATTACAGTTGACGCCAAACTTTAGTGGGACATAATATGCTGTAAAAAAATTAGAAGTCTAAAAAAGGATTATTTTAATTAGGGAATACATGGTTAATATTAATCCATGACGAGGATAATATAATCACTTCCAAGCAGTTTCCCACTGAAAACAAATATGAAGAACTTTGTTTGTACATTCCAGATGGAGCTTGGCACCCGTTTATATCTCAACTTTTATTGTCAACACCGACATCATTATTTGTACCGTACGTGGCCTCCTACTGTATTTTAAAAATTACACTTATTGTGTACCGCAAGTTTGTATGGTTCTAGATATATAAATAAATTACAAGAGACATACACATTGTAATTATTTTTTTTATTCATTGTTTTTCTTAGCCAAAAAGAATATATTGGTTTGGTTTGCTAACCTTTTAATTTGGTTTGCTAAATGCTATCATTTTATTTATATAAGAAGATAAAACGAGAGTTTCATAAATAAGGACCTAAATAATTATTTCATCCAATATTCCATTTACGTACCTGAATCGGTTTGCTCATAAAGACTTGCTTATATTTGCGTTTTGTGAATAAAAAAAAAGTATAGCTCTACTTCAAAACACTTCAATATTGCATGCGCCG